TGGGGTGGGGAGAAACGGCTCAGGCTCAGGCCTGGAGAGAACCTTGTGTCCGGCCAGCAGGAGAGGGCTTGAGACCCTGGCACGGACGTTGGCATTGGCTGTGGGCGCTCAAGGAGACGGGGAGACTCAGAAGCCTGCTTTTCTGGCAGACGACCGTCCCGAGCCCCACTCGCCACTGTGAAGCCACCTGCGCAGGAGAAGGTGAGCACAAGGGCCTTGGAATGGGCGCCTGCGGAGTTTCCTGAGCCGCCCCAGCTGCCAGCTCCAGGCAGAAGCCGGTGGTTGGGTGATCAATAAGCCAGACAAGGCCACGTGCCACAGGGGAGTCCAGAGGAGGTAATTAAACAGCTTCTCAAGCAAGCGCCCTTGCGGGGATTAACCGAGATTTGAATAATGAAGCCTCGCTGGGGAAGGTGGGAGAGAAATACAAATGAAGGTGGGCTTGGCTGACGGCACTGAGGCCTGGCCTGTGCAGCAGGAGACGAGGCGTGTGCGCCCAGTGAGGCCGAGAGGAGACAAGGCCCACCCTGGGGCACCCATGCTCCTCCTGAGTCTGGCAGCCGCGCCCTGGTCCGCTCACTATTTCATCACCTTCCCTCCAGGTTTCTGCACTTGTCTCCCGGCTGGTCACCCACTCGGGCTCTCCCCAGCCTTGCCCGAGTTTCACTTCCAGAAAACGGCCCCCTGCCACCAGCAAGTTTTGCCTCGTTGTGCCCAAGGCCCCCTCGGGTGTGTCGTTTCCAACTTGATTTCCTGTTCTGGCTTTGGCTCCTGTAGAAGTGAGCTCCCTGACCCCATATTTCCCCTACTGCTTCCTGCCTCAGTGCCCTTGCACACCCGGGGACTTTTCCCTCTCCAGGCGACCTTCTAGTTCAGTTAAATCTCTTCCACCAAGCACTCCTGATCCCTTAACCAGACATGATTGTGTAATACTTCGTATAATGGTCACTTACATGCGTGTTAGAGGAGGTCGCAGAGGACGAAGTTGGGGGTTGACCTGGGCGATCGGAGGCTCCTCACCCTCCCCTGTCCTTGGGATGCAGGCCCTGCCCACCATCCCCACAGCCAGAGCCATTCCACGGACTCAGCCTTCAGAGGTACGGTGTTGCTGGGACCACCTGGATGGTGCACGTGACCGAGCCCCATTAAGGTCTCTCCGTAAACGTTGGCAATTCTGGCAGGTGGTGCAGAGATCGATGCATCTTGCCCCAGACGAGCCTTGCACGTGAGTTCCCTTGCTCATTACACCTGCCACCCACCCATCTGGAGCGGCCTGTCCCTTCCTTCCTTCCGTCTCTCCTTGCCTTGCGTGTACAGGGACAGTTTTGCATTCCACCCAGGAAGCTCCCCAGGTTTAGAACCACGTCAGACTCCCAGTTTCTCAGATAAGACGCTGCCTGACTCGATGCCTGGACCATGAGTGTCCGCTGATTCCTGCAGGAAGGGAAGGGAAGGGAAGGGGCATAAGCCCTTCACCAAAAGCCCAGAGAACAAATGTGCTGTGGAATTTCAGATTTTCCAGGCTTTGGGAAAGTACTATGGTGCATCTGTTCCAGGGCAGGTGAGAGCCCCACTGGGCCTGGGTAGTCCCCTGCGGTCAAACACATTCATATATCTGCTGCAAAAGTGAAATAGTCACATTAAAAGGGATTATTTAGCTTCAGTTAAGTTCAGGTCAGGTTTTGACCAAAGAAGCCGAGAAAAATCCAGTTTTCTGAACATTTTTGATTTGGGGGCTGAGGATGGGTCTGTGGACCTGTGTTCCCGCAGGAGATGCCTCAGGTGTTCTCCAGGGCTGCTGCCGGGGAGACAGAAGAGCTCGGTCCTGCACTTCCCCGGGCAGACTGGGGACGCATCCAAACTTAGTTCTGTCACGTGGATCCGTCCACGAGGGGAGAGGCTTTAGCCGAATGGGAAATTGAGATTTTAAAGGTGTGTGAGGAGCCTTAGCGGCCTCTGGAAATCCTGAATCGCCGAACCTGGCTTGTGAGCACGTGTGTGTGGCAGGGGGGCTCCAGGAGCTAGGGTCCATGTGCAGCCCCAGCACGTGATGTGAACATGCTCTTAGGGGACCCCGTGGCCGGGCTTGGGGTGGATCCGTTCAACGCCACATTCCATCGCCCCGGCCTGATAATCCGGCCATTGCAAGAGCAAGCCGTCTGCAAAGGTTAGATTCAAAAGCAGGGGAGGCGATTAAAGGAAAAATACTAGTCCCCAGGCGAGACGGTCGAGATGCCGATGAGGGTCTTGAAAGAAGAACAGCCTTAATATCGAGGAGTCCTTGCCGGGCCAGGTAACCTGGGCGCCACCTCTCGAAGAAAGTATAAATCTGGCTTCCAGCCGGGCCTCAGTAGTTTTCAAGCCACAGCTCCGTGGATTGATTGCAGGTCATTAACTGCCGCACGAGGCTCAGGGAAGTGAGAAGATTAAAGTACCAGCCCTGGCCTTGGAGAAGTAATTTGGCCAGTCCTTGATGCCGGGAGTGTGCTGCTAAACGATTATCACCTGTTAATTCTTGGTGTAACTTTGGGGAGGAAACCTGTTATCCAAGGGGCAGGGAGTTTTCAATTAATTCTGGAGAGTCCGGCAGGTTTTAAATGGCTGAGTGTGAGATACGTTTCTTAGGGAAATTAGAACTTGGGCGGCAAGGCCCCGAGTCAGGACCTGCTGTCTAACCTGCAGGTGCAAAATGAGAACGCAGGGCCCCTTGCGCAAAAATTAGGAGGGTTCAAGATGGTGAAATTGCAGGTTGATCCTGAGCAGGCTCTGTTGCCCCCTTGAGTGTGGCCCTGGGTGGCGAGGGTGGGGGCTCCTTGCCCCTGGCCTCCCGGCGTCACGCACCTGTGTGTGTGTGTGAATCAACCCCTGGCTCCGTGAGGCAGAGGGGCACAGCTCCCTGTCCTGTGGCTCGTTTGTGGGGCACTGCGTTGAAAATTGCGCCTTATTAGTATCAGATGGGAAAGAAAAAAGCAAGAGAATTAGCGAGAGGCGAAAATGATTACCCGGCGTTCCCCATTCTCCTTGGCTGGACGGGCTCAGGGAGTTGAACATAGATATTTAATGTGCTTTTTTCCCTTTCTCATAGAAAGTCCAATCTGTATATATATTAAACTAAGATGTTCCTGAAAGGTGCCTGGTTTAATTGCATTAGGGAAAAACGCTGAGACTTTTTCATCTGTAAATGGGGCGCAGTAACCTTTTCACGGCTCATCTTCTGCTGAGAGGTTCACCTGAAAATAGGGGTTGAAAGCGCTCTGTAAACTGTAGAGTGCTGTGCACATAGAAGGTATCAATCCTCTAGTGTTACTAGGGATGCCCTTTGTCGTGGACTGAATGTTTGTCACCCCCAAATTCGTCTTAAAAGCCCATGAGTCTGGATTTGGAGAGAGCACTCGTGAGGAGGTGGTGAAAGTTTAATGAGGTCGTAGGGGCGGGGCCCTCACTGACGGGACAGGTGCCCTTCTGAGAAGGGGGGAGACACCAGCGCTCGCTCTCCCCCCCCAGTGCACGCTCGGGGGAGAGGCCGGGTGACGACGCGGTGAGAAGACGGTCTGCACGGTGGGAAGAGGGCTCCTACCAGGACCCGAGGCGGTCACACCTTGACCTTGGGCTTCCCAAACTGTGACATTTCTGTTAAGCCCTTGAGTCTGTGCATTTTGCTCTGGCAGCCGGAGCTGACCAACACCCTTGCAGAAGAAACTTTCCTTTGAGCCCTTGCTGGGGTGAGCACCGCGGTCCGTGAAGGGCAGAACCATCGTTCCTGCAACTCTGAAAAACCCCAAGAAATGGGCGAGTCTTCCAAATACCAGGAGAGCGGAGGTGCTCAGACACGGTCGTCTCTGCGAGTCTGTGAGTGTCGCCCTCGCAGCCTCTGGGTGTGAGCGCTCGGTGTGAACACTCGGTGTGTCGTCTCAGTGCCCGATATGCCCAGTGAGGATGAGCTGTTATCTGCTTTTCACGCATCAAAGCCACGGAGATTAGACAGTGACCCCGCAGTGTCACCTGTGGATCGTGACTTAGCTGAAGAGCAGCGTTGGCCAAGGGCCCCTCAGTGGCTGTTATTGGGAGCCCCAGGTTGGCAGCTCCATTAATAATTAATAATCACTATAGAATGCTTTTGGATATCAACTCTGAGCCCGACAAGGTTCTGGGCACTTTTACACATACCCTGTTTTACTTAATTAAATGTGATCGGATCTCCCCCCCCAATATTATTTATGAAGTAAACTTAATTTAGCATCTAACTCCCGGGTAAATGCCACACTGCAGGCACCTGTTCTGGGAATGCAAGCATTTTTTAACAGTCTGCAGCGGCAGGACCGGGCGGAGAGGCTGGGTCTGCCTCAGGAGTGAAATCGAGTGTTTCTTCATTAGAAGCCTGTTTATCGGGTGCATGGACGGTTTTCCAGCAGTGGGGTAGGCGGTTCACTAAGAGACCCAAATGGCAACACACGCTTTTCATTTAAAACACTTTCACTTTTCGTAGCAGGCGACTTCGGCTAAATACAAAGCCCCCGGGACTCAGCGCTTGTGCTGTAGGTGTCGTAACTACGCAGAAGCAGCTCCTGGCTCCAGCCCCTCAGAGGCCACGCCGTCCGACCCTTCGGCTGCATCTGCCGTCCATCAGCGATTCTAAGTAATGTATTTATTCTCCCATTTGTTTCTATTCATTTTTACTAAGTTTCACACACATACAGAGAACTATATAACGCAAGGAACCTTGGCTCGTCTTTGCTGTTACCATTTTTGGTTCTAACCCCATATACTGGCCGTGAACTTGAGGAATATTCCCCACTCTTCCAAGAACTGTAATTCTATGAAATTCAAGCTGGTTTTCTCTCACTGACAGGCGCTAAAGACCGTAATGTACAGAGGGACCCCCCTTTATGTGAGCCGAGGCTTTGAGTTGACGATAGAAATGTAAACACGGCTCCTCTAATGCATTTTTAATCGTCTCTATTCCTGGACATTAGCCAAAGTTCACATCTTTAGCAGTAGAAGGTTCGCCATACAGGCCAATGCCTCCCGCAAGAATTTTCTAAAGATTTGCACTTAACCCCAGCTGTTTCCTTTGTTTCCTTGTTCCACGCACTGAGCCTCGTGGCCGTGGGCTTTGACGCGTGAGGAGGGGCATCGCCAGGCTTTAATTCACCGGGCCGCCTCGGGGGGCGCGCGGGGCCGATATTACCCTCTGCCCCACCTCGCCCGGCTGCCGGGTGTCGGCTTGAAAGCCCGTCCGCAGACACTGCCCGGAAACGTGGCTGTCCCCTTCATGCCCATTTTTCATTGTTGTATTTTCAGCCGACAGGCTGCAGGCAGCCAGTCTCGGGTTCAGAACTCTGGCCTCCACGCGGGTGGGAGCAGCGCTTTCTTCTCCTTTGGGTCGTGTTTTGTGGTGAGAGGGGCCACCCCTGTGCCTGCCCCAGGCCAGGCCCCGTCAGGCTCTTCGCCTCTGTGACCACCTTCCCTCGCTCTCCCTCTCCCTGGGGTGGCCAGGCAACCTTTTCTGGACCAGACACGTTTAGAGGTTGGAAGGATGTAAGTAACTCTTATCCGGCGTTCCCTTGGGGTCAACACCCAGCCCTCCTCGTTGAGATGTTAGGGGAGAGGAAGGTGATGTCATGGGAAAAGCACGAGGCCTGGGGCCAGGCCAGCTGGGGTGTGCCCCCTGTATGCCCCCCGGGAGGCCGCATGAGCTCACATAAGCCACTTACCTTCTCCGAGCCTCAGGATACTAAAAAGCGAGAATGATCGTACCCTCGTTATGTGGCCCAAAAGTTAAAGGGGGTCCATTAAAAACGCCTAGCGTGCTGTCCCGTGTCAAGGTAAACAGACGCTTACCATGTGGCCTGGCGGTCCAGCTCCTCAGGAGCCCGCTAGGGAGACAGAAGCATGTGTCCCCACAAAGACATATGTACAGATGCTGACAAGGGTTTTATTGCTAAAAGCTTCAGCCAGAAACAACCCAAAGGTCCACTGATGAGCGAATGAATAAGAAAAATTTCGTATATTCATAAATGGGACTTGGTCATCAATCAAAGGAATGACCCGTTGGCCCACGCAGTGCTACTGTGCGATCCCTGTGGAACCCTGTGGAAAAGGAATCTAATCAGGGGTGACAGGAACTGGGGCCGGGGTAACCTGGGCCGGGGT